GTTGGAAGAAAGTTAGGGATGGCCAAACCAAAACGTGTGACATCAGTGGTTGAAGTCAATAACTTCTAGTTTGAGCCATGTTGGTAGATGCGGACTATTGGTTGGGGTCCACGTGACTATCGTAACGAATGGTTGGAGACTGTGTGTGACATGGTTGAGAATCGATCACAATGGCGTCGACGTATACACTCTTTGTCTTCCCTTAAACTATGAACTCTACGAACTCATTCTTTCTTCTTGTATTATATCCTTATACGCATTCTTTCTTTTATATATTAACACCACTGAATTAACAAGTTTTATGAATTTGGTGTTCATCTTGTTGTGCTAATGAGTGAAGTGTGGCAACTTGTACCGATGTATATATCTGCTTGAGATCCTACGTTGTAACTGACTAATTGACTTTGGGCATTTATCTATCTCACATTCGCACATATACATGCTCTTCTAAAGTATATAATTTAAAATATTTTAAATTATTCTTATCATAGTTTAACTGTGTTTAATTCAATCTCCTATAATATGAATATCATATATATTACACTTGTACACAATTTGTTTCATGTTAAATCAAATTATAATAGGGTTTTTTTTAGATTTTATTCTCTGATATTTTTGGCACAGATACGGATCATGTTTTGTTTATTTGTAGGCGTCTATTGTATAACATATGTTGTTCTATAAATTATCAATGATACTTATGTTTCTCTAATTTTATTTTCTGTTAAGATTGATATTATGAGTGGATCAATGTTAGATTAACATTGAAAAGCTGGAAGTACTAGATGATTGTTGCATTCTAATATTTGGACTCAGTGGTCTAGAGATTAAGCATTCATGTGCAAGACCGAAAGTTCTTGATTCGAGTCCCTCGTGCGGGATCGTGGATGCGCACTGTTGAGGAGTCTTATGCTAAGATCGAACGGTCATTTAGTGCTTCCAAGTTTTCAGTGATGGTCTAACATTGATCCGTTTATTATATCAATCTAAACTCAACAATCCTGTACTGATTTCTTTCCTGTATTTAACTATTATTTTATTAAAGATAGACTATTATTGAATTTATGAAATAATCTTGTAATTTTACAGTCACTTTTAAAATGATTAACAAAGTCCTATTTAAACCGGAAGTATTTCATAATCGAGATTATGAAATTGGCTTGAGTTTAGTGATTTTAGGTAGTTTTTTCTATTGATTTTCTAATACTCCGTTTTTTAACCTTATTTATTTGAACATAACTATTCGTACAAAGGGGCATCGAATACATATGCGCTGCATAAGTCACTTGATTTGTGTGTGGGCTTAGATAATACCCAGGTGGTCAGACAGAAGTAGGTGGTTATCTTAGGAGTTTACTCCCCGAACCTTTGATCTAAAGGTTTGATCCACAAGGCAGTGGAATGACTTCAGGAGATACAGTCCTATAGTAGCCGTTGACCAACGGTTGGTTCATACACCATTCGTTCCTTCAGAATAGTGGAGCCAGCCCATGTGTACCATTGGTTTGGAGTTGGGGTTCTCCAACTTCCCTGGGTGAATCCTTCATATCCACCAACCCGGTTAGTGCGCCGGACATTCGCTTTTCATCCTCTCAATTTCGTAAACAATAGTAATGCCGTGAGAAGGTAGTGAGTAGGACTTCCTTGACAATGGGTGTGTACGCTTGGCCATGTGAGTGCACTTTGAGAGAGAGAGCTGATTCTTTCCATGGGATTTTTTGGCGGGAATGATGCCACCATAAAATCTCATTCATCTGAATACATCATAGGGATTTGTTTGATTTATGTGTTATGCATAGTCGGCATAGAACCAAATTGAGCATTTACCTACTACTTGGTTCAAGGCAGTTTTTTACAGTTTATCATAACAATAAACAATTTGTCCTAATAGTTTTAAACGTGCTCTAGATTATACCATGGTGATATATCTACCAAGGTTTTTTATGTGATGCAAAATAAAAGACATTCTGTTTTTAATTGTGTTCATGAACCGATTGATGTTAGACCACCATTGAAAACTTGAAAGCACTGCTAAGGAGTCCCACAGTAGGACGAACTGGCCATTCACTGCTTCCAGTTTTTCAATGATCATCTAACATCAATCGGTTCATGATCTCCACAATCCTATACTGAGAACATTCTGGGTTTTTTTTAACTTGATAACTTTGTATAAGAAACCGATAGCCTTGTTACTATCGTTTATTAGTTACACTTTTTTTTCTCCTGTTGTTTATTTATTCTTTTGGAAATTGCCCTTCAGTAATCCAGTTAGTTAATCAATAAGGAAGAGAGAGAGAAAGAAGGAAAGAAAGAAAAACAACACATAAAACACATCTAACTAACTGTAAATGGTTCATCTTCTATTTTTAACAAACAACCTAATTGGTTTCTTTTTTTTACACCATTCACTTCTTTTTGAAATTATATTGTCTGATATTATCATCATTTTCAATGTAATAAAACACACAAAATAGTTTAATCTTATTGAATTGAATATAATATCTATTTTGGAATCAATGTATTGTGTATATTTTGAATATAGGAATGTTTGTTCCATCCATCTTCCTTCAATATATGTATATAGGCCTATGTAATCTTATGTTGTGAATGTCATTTATAGTATCATTATGTGAGAGGAAGACAAAAAAAAATAATCTGACAAATTAGTAATACAATAAAAGTTGTTTCTTTAAGCTCCTAAATGCCTTGGTACGGTTGAGAGTGAGAGTGAGTCAACTCTCCATCACTAAATACTCTCACATAACCATGTGGATACAACTATTGTCAGGGAAATCTTACTCATTTCTTTCTCGCGGCGGGAGTGTTGTTTACAAAATTCAGAGGATGAAAATTGAATGTCCGGTGCTTTAACCGGATTCCTCTTTCTTCTGGTGGTCGACTGGATGATGAAGACCTTGGCATCTGAGGGGAAACATGGCATGCAATCAACAGCTCAGAATCAATTAGACGATTTGAACTTTGCAGATGACCTAGCCCTCTCATCGTGCTGATAATAATAATACACACGAACAAATGCACATAAAGACAGCCAGTGTAGCAGCAGTCTCTGCATCAGTAGGCTTCAACATACACAAGGGGAAAACCAAGGTACTAAAATACAACACGAAGAACAACAATCCACTGATACCTGATGGTGAAACTCCGGAAGATGTAAAATCTTTCACATACCTGGGAAGCATGCAGACGTAAAGGTGAGAATTGGCAAAGTATGAGCCACATTCCTACAATCGAAGAACATATGGAACTCAAAACAACTGTCTATCAACCAATATCAAATTCACAATATTCAACACGAACGTCAAGACAGTTCTATTTTACGGAGCTGAAACGTGGAGAACTACCACAACCATCATCAAGAACGTATAAGTATTTATAAATAGTTGTCCAAGCAAGATACTCAACATCCATTGGCTGGATGCCATCAGCAACAGCCTTTTGTGGGAGAGAACAAACCAGCTTCCAGCTGAAGAAGAAATTAGGAAAAGACGATGGGAATGGATAGGACATACATTACGCAAATCATCAAACTGCATCACGAGGCAAGCCCTAACTTGGCATCCTGAAGGGAAGCGGAAAAGAGGAAGGTCCGAGAACACATTATGTCGGGAAATAGAAGCAGATATGAAAAGGATGAATAACAACTGAAAAGAGCTAGAAAGGACTGCCCAGGACAGGGTTGGATAGAGAATGCTGGTGAGCGGCCTATGCTCCCTCACGAGGAGTAACAGGTGTAAGTTATCCGGGTTGGTGGATATGGAGGATCCACCTAGGGGGTTTGGAAAACCCTGATTCTAAACCAATGATGCACATGGGCCCCAGTATCCTGAAGGAACAAATGGCAAATGAACCTTTTGTTAGTCACTGACTACCATGTGACTGTATCTCCTGTCGTTCTTCCACTACCTTGTAGAATAGACCTGTAGGTCGAAGGCTCCGAGTGTGTCCTCCCAAGAAAATCACTTGCTTCAGTTTGGCCACCTGAGCGGTATCCTAGCACTCACCCAAATTAAATGATTTATATGGCGCATATGTATTCCGTGCCACTTTGTACCAATGTTTATGCGTTTAAATGAATAAATGGGTTCTACTTCACATTACAGTCCATTTTATGATTTCAATGGTAATTAAACTATGAATATTGATTGAAAATTAATTTCGATATTATGCATAAAATATCATAATTATATTTCAGTGTTGTAGTGGAGATTGTTGAGTTTTTCAGTTTTACATTACTAACTGATGATAATTAAATAAGCAATTGAAAATCAAAATGCACTAAAAATCTGTTTCATGACAATCCAAATCCACAATCTTACTATAAATTAAACATGAAATTTTCAGATATCCTTGCAACCGACCAGCATTCTCCAACCCACTCACTTTGTTCTGAGCCTTCCTTTCTAGTTCTATCCAACTGTTGTTCATTCTTCTCATGTCTATCTCCGTTTCTCGATATAACGTGTTCTTTAGTCTTCCCCTCCTCCTTCGGCCTTGAGGATTCCATGTGACGTCTTATCTTCTGACGCAGTTGGGTGGTTTCTTCAATGTGTATCCTACCCACCTCCAGCGCTTCTTTCTGATTTCTTTCTCCTCCTGAATATGGCTTGTTCTCTCCCACAGTACGTTGTTATGGATAGTGTCTGACCAACGAATCAGAAGTATTTTGTGTAGACAATTGTTAATAAACACTTATATGTTCTGGATGATGGCTTTCGTAGTTGTCGAAGTTTCCTCCTTTTGCTATGAGTTCCAGATGTTCTTCAGTTGTAGATATGCTGCTCTTACTTTACTGATCCCACGCTTTCACAATCAAACCTAATAATATACCCAGATCAATGCATCTTCGACAATAAACATTTGTATTTATTGAGTTGTTCACTGCAGTGGGTTTTTTTGTTGTCATCAAATTTTTGATGATACTTCAGTTATGTTATTACATAATAAATATCTAATATACTTTTATATCCTTTTTCGTTTAGAGCATCTGGTGTTGTTTACAGTGGAATTGAATCAACAACAGGACGTCGTGTTGCAATAAAACAAATGAATTTAAAAAAACAACCTAAAAAAGAATTAATTGTTAATGAAATTTATGTAATGAAAGTTAAAAAACATCCAAATGTTGTTAATTATTTAGATAGTTATCTTATTGGTGATGAATTATGGGTTGTAATGGAATATTTAGATGGTGGTTCATTAACAGAAGTTGTTACTGAAACATTAATGGATGAAGGACAAATTGCAGCTGTATGCAGAGAGGTAAATATGCATATATACTATTTTCTTGTTTGACTTAGTAGTCATAAAGTGAAATGAAATATCAAGTTAATAGAAGTAAGTAATAGTATTAGTGGTGGTAGTTAAAACAAAATTACAAATAAAACAATAGTGTTAAAAACTGTTTATGTTAATCTGGACCATCTTTGGCGCCTTCATGATGTTAGTCTGACTGTAAATGGTTGAATCTACAACGCGTTGGTGAGAGCTCTATGCTTATGAAATCTGGCCTCTACGAGTTGAGGATGTTAGACGACTCTCTGTGTTTGATCCTTGTTGTCTTCGAAGGATTGCTGATATCCAGTGGCAACATCATGTTAGTAATGCAGAGGTTCGGGCATCGTGTGTTTGTACGCAGAGATGATAATTCAATTGGTGTCATTATCTTGAAACATCGACTCCGGTGGCTTTGACATGTATGACGAATGTCGTTCCAGAAAATTTTTTGCCGACACTGAGACTGGTTAGAAAAAGCGGAGAGGTGATCAATGCACTCATTTCGGTTGTGAGACAAACATCTAGCGTATACCATAAGTGATGTAAATTGACAAAATCTTGGTAGGTTGTCTGAATTCGTGCCAAGATTTCATCCGACACAAACCCACCAGTATCGATAAGACTCCCAGCTAGTTCATACTTTCTTGGTCAATTTAGTAAATGTGAGAAATAAATTTCAAATATCTACACACTTCAATGTCGATTTGTGGGTTTTCAGGAACGGATGTATATTTTTTTTAAAAAACTTCAGTATCTTTTCACCTATGTTTTTATTTTAAAGTACTCAGGTAGGTAAGTTGAGTAAAAAAAACACTAGATGTTTGTCTCACAACCAAAAGGAGTGTATACTTGACAGTAATCCGCTCTGGATTATTTCAAAGATAACCAAATGGTCTCTGAAAATACAAAACATGCGTAGGCTTCAGGTTTCTAAGTATAAGTCAGTCAGTCAGTCAGATACAACGTAAGACCAGGCACATATGTGCATCGATCCAAGTTGCCATACCTCATTAGCACAACCGAATGAACACCGGATTCTCTGAGCTGGCTCACAGAACAAAACTTTATCATAATCATCCACCTGAGCTACAAATCTTCTCCACCATCCCACAGAGATTTTTCCTTATTTCCTTATATGAAATGCTTATAAAACTATGGAAAGTTTTTTTTAGGAGATATTTCCCAATTCCTTTTTCATTTATTTGTTTAATTTGTGTATACAGACAAGCAGAAAGGTAGTTCTTTTATATATGGAATATATATCCTGCATTTTAAGTTTAGGGAATTGAACGTTTCGCTTTAGATTTCGATCTGATTGATACGTAATCGATTGTAGCTATGAAAATATCGTATCAACTACACACTAATTTCAGTGTATTCATTGTCTTACTTAACAATGAAATCAAGAACTCATGTTTCCTATTTGGGACTAGTCAGTTGGATCTACTTACGACATCACAGTGTTGATGTCCACATTTAGACTTGAGTTCATTAACCATTGCTTCAAACACACTCTTGTTATTCACTAAGCCATATAGTAAATATTGTAAAACTTCAAACTTTATGACTATGTCAAGACAATCGTTTCATGGTGGATGTACACCAGCAGAGACTGGTAAATTACAGTTCTGAATATCAACAACGGGGAATTACTAACTGTTAGTAATAACTAAGTATACTAGTGTTAAATGTCTTTAGTTTACTGTTGTTTTTTATCACAAATCCCCCATACATCTAATAGTCATGTGCTCACTAGTGACTGATTTCTGTAAGTTTAATGGGAAACTGTGAGTAGTAGAGTTCGACAATATCAACTATAAGGCAATCATAGATTATTGACATCGGAAGATTGTTTCAAAGCATCACGAACCGATTGAAGTCTGTAATATCCAACTATCAAGTCTTCAACCTCATTGATCGAAAATATTAGGCACTTACCACAAAACCTGAAGCTGTTGTATATAGTCCCTGATGATGTAAGTGTGCACTATCGAGAAGTTCCCACATTGAAATAAAACAGCTGATCAATGTTTCTTTGCTTACAAATAGTTAATCACATAGTCCTGTTTAGTGAAGACGTTGATAAAATACAGTGTTTTGGTAGCACTGAGCAACAATACCAGAATGTTTGGGATGCGCTTCTCTCCCTCTAAATGCAAGTCATTGCTTCAGGACTGGTCTGCGTCAACACCTGAACTAAGGATAGGGAGTGAAGTAGTCGAACGCGTTCACAACTTCACTTATCTTGCAAGTCCGATCAGATGCCTTAGAAATATTGTTCGCATCTGCTGTGATCACCGGGTAAGTAGTAGTGAGGTTAGACACAGAGTATTAGGGAATGATGGTAAATCAGTTTATGATGTTAGAAAAATTCATCGACTGAGATGGTTGAGCCACATGTTACGTATACCTGAACACCGATTACCACGACGTGCAATGCTGACTAGTGTTAGGAATGGTTGGTCGTAGCATCAGTACTTGAAGTCACTAACTTCTGGTCTGTCCCTTGTTGGTAGATGCAGACTACTTGATTGGGGTCCACGTGAATGTCGTAACGAATGGTTGGAGACTGTGTGTGACATTGTTCAGAATCGATCACAATCTCGTAGGTGTATACATTCTTTGTCTCTCCGTAGAGCGTGAGATTGAAATTGCTTTATACCTTTCTTTCTGTGTTATATCCTTATATGTAATCTTTGTTTTATATATTACCACCATTGAATTAACTACTTCTATGAATTTGGTGTTCATCTTGTTGTACTAATGAGGTATGGCCATTCAAATCGATATATATATATATATATATATATATATATATATATATATATATATATATATATATATATATATATATATATATATATATATATATATATATATATATATATATATGTACCTAGCCCTACGTTGTAGCTGGCTGACTACAAATACTTATCTAATTATGATCAGTCTCTGATGTTACTGTACAAAATTTTATTGAACGCTCATTTTTCTCATTCTATTTATTCTGTATTTCTTGTTTCTGTACATGCTTTTTTTCATCCTCGAAATACGTACACACTTGTGAATATGGTTGAATTCAATATGGTTGTGATGGTGATAATACATTCAAATGATTATTTATTATACTTCTGTGTTACAATACAGTGTTTACAAGCATTGGAATTTCTTCATAAAAATCAAGTGATTCATCGTGATATTAAATCAGATAATATTTTATTAGGATTAGATGGTTCAGTAAAATTAACGGATTTTGGTTTTTGTGCTCAACTTAGTCCAGAACAAACAAAACGTTCTACAATGGTTGGTACACCATATTGGATGGCACCAGAAGTAGTAACAAGAAAACAATATGGACCAAAAGTAGATATATGGTCACTTGGTATTATGGCTATTGAAATGATTGATGGTGAACCACCATATTTAAATGAAAATCCTGTTCGTGTAAGTATTTATTTATTTTTTAAATATCTTCTTGCCTAGTAATCTCAACTTTAGCCGCATAAAGATATATCAATTAAAGTTACTCGCGTCTTTGCGATGTTTTCCTAGCTGACGAATCCCAAATAGGACGAAACGCGCGTCAAACTGGATTCCACTGCTAGCCACTATCATCCATTTTTGCTTACAATGTATGCGATTTAAAGCTATATCGAAGCAATTCGCACAGGATGTACATATGCCAACATGAGGCTGATCCATTGCAGTCTTAAATAACAAAATGGGAAGATACAAGTAAAACAACATCAAGTGAATTTTTACTTTCCGATTACTGCATCTACTTTTACTATCTCTACCACTATGGGATTCGAATCGACAATTATATCTCTGTGCTATTGTTGTGGTATGACAACTTGAACTGATGTACGTACATACAAAGTTCTACGTTGTTACTGACTGACTGAAAATGTTAGATCGAAAATGAAATATTTAATGAAAATTATGCTCCATTATACAATGCCTACACTGACCAAATGAACAGAAAATATTCAGAAATCTTTGATATAAAACACTTATTGAATATTTGAAACGTTGAAGAAATAAAACCTCTCAGTCTTGTAAATTTTTCCCTTGATTTTGTTTTTATTATTTGTTTATTTATTTCAACACATAAATATTGGTACAATAGGGCACTGAATACATATGCTCCATACAAGTCACCTGATTTGTGTGTGGACTGTGATACTGTCCGTGTGCCCAGACCGAAACAGGTAGTTTTCTTAATAGGATACGCCCAGAGCCTTCGACCTACAGGTATGACTCACAAGGCAATGGAGCAACGTACGGAGATGCAGTCTCATGGTAGACGGTGACCAGTAATTGGTTCATACGCCATTTGTTCCTTCAGGATACTGGAGCTAGCCAGCCCATGTGCACCATTGTTTTAGAATGAGGGTTTTCTAACTCCCCTATATGGATCCTCCGTGTCTACCAACCCGGTTAATGCGCCGGACATTCGATTTTCTTCCTCTCAAATTCGTAAACAACAGCAATACCGCGAGAAAGCAGTGAGTAGTACTTATATGGTAGTGGCTATATGAGAGCATTTGGAGCAGGGGAGCTGTCTCTTCCCAATCTCGGTCGTACCAGGGCATTTAGGGTCATTCAATTATTGAAATGCAGCCATTATATTGATAGTTGAACTTGTATGTATGTGTATGTGCACAAATAAATATTTGTAATTGTAATAAGGTAACTTTGTAAAAGATTACCAGAACTATACATTTACTTAATTTGGCTATGAAAATCTGATTAATTAAATCTCTGTAGAACTTCAATGTAGACAAATAAAGTTCGATTCAGGTACAAGGAAGTTATCACTTAAATATTAATGCCTTACATTTTACTGCATTTTCTGTTATTACAACATATAAATAAACAATATTGTTCTCTTTATTAGATCTTCATCAGTCTTTATTCATTTTAATTTACAGTAATATTTAATTTAACGTATGTAATCTGAAATTTATTAAGGTAGTTTATGATAACAATGGAATAGATGATGTAATAACAGGTATTAGTTGTAATAAGAATAACGCCCCCAAATGCCCTGGTATGGCCGAAGGTGGGAAGAGTCAGCTCTCCCTCTGGAAATGCTCTCACATGACCATGCTTATATAGCCACTGCCACACAAGTATTACTCACTACCTTCTCACGGCATTACTGTTGTTTACGAAATTGAGAGGATGAAAAGCGAATGTTCGGCGCACTAACCGGGTTGGTGGATATGGAGGATCCATCCAGGGAAGTTGGAAAACCCCGACTCCAAACCAATGGTGCACATGGGCTGGCTCCACCATTCTGAGGGAACAAACGGCATATGAACAAATCGTTGGTCAACGGCTACCATAGGACCGTATCTCCTGGAGTTACTCCACTACCTTGTGGATTAGACTTTTCGATCAAATGCTTGGGGAGTGAACTTCTAAGATAACCACTTGCTTCGGTTTGGGCACCTGGGCAGTATCCCGACCTGCACACAAATCAAGTGACTTATGCAGCGCATATGTATTCGGTGCCCCTTTGTATGAATGGTTATGTGTTCAAATAAATAAGAATAACAAATGTTTGAATCAATGTCTCAAGATGGGAAGTCGACCAAAACTTGAAGAAAAAATCCATAGTCAAATAATCATCGTTAAAAATGATCAAAGCTAGGCAATAAGATCTATTCAAATAATTAAACAGTAAAAAATATATTTGTGAAAGTGATGAAGAAAAATAAATGAACAACAAGCCTAATTCAGTCACGGAAACAATAAGGATGTCAAAATTTATTATAATGAATACAAAGAATTGGGTTGTTAGTTCGAATCCCTGTAGCTTCTGCTATATATAAAATATGAAATCAAACCCTATAAAGAATAGTAGTAGTTATGCGGTAAATTACTCTAAATGATTCGGTCCTACCTACTACATGACCTCTGTCTATCAAGTGTGATAGATTGCAGCTAGCTGTGTATTACTTTGATCATAATCTTTTTCAACCATCTAGGGAGTAAAACCTAATGGGGGATCGAATTGGAAACAATGTCATTCGCTTATATGTGTTATTCTAGTTTCCAATATAAAAGTTTTTTAGTATTCCCTTCTATCAAATCATTAGTAAATTTCATCTATCAACTAAAGGTATAGTTGTAAAGATTCATTGATCTGGTCAATTGAATTGATAATATGCAAATATGTATCTAAAGGATTTAATTACTTCTAGATATTAAACATATTTACTACATAGATTGTATGTTACACATGTTCCTTATATGTCTGAACAGAAAGACAGTGTGAGTAGAGTTTCAATGAATGAATGAATGATTAGGAGTTAAATGTTCCATATATCTGAGATGCAACTATTCAGTTGATTAAATATTATATCTCGAAGCTGTATTATTGTCACTTTGATAGTTATGATGTTTTCATTAGCAGTAAGCATATGTTGAAACTCATCTGTACAGTCCTTTTTTTAAGAATGACAGATGTTACTACACATAGAATGAAAAATTCTCAGTTTCGGACGTTATCACTGAGATACTTGAACCGCAAGTGACCTGTGAAATAGTTATATTTATAGGGAGCATTAAATTCTTGAAGATTGTAGATACGCCTTGTTGATGAGTCTCAACTAGTATGAAACCTAGGTCAAGTAGGGTTTCTTTCTGACTTCATCCAACTATCTAACGCTAACTAATATAATGCACGTGATGTTTTGTCATATAGACTAGTGGGTCGCATTACTGCTTAATCAATGAAATTCTGTGAGTTATTAAGACTACCATTTAATGATCAGTCAATGTGATAAGACAGTCAGTCAGCTACAACGTAGGACCAGGCACATATATACATCTGTCCAAGTTGCCATACCGCATTAGCACAGCAAGTTGGATACCGGATTCATAAAAGTAGATAATTCAATGGTGGTAATATATAAAAGATTGCAATAAGGATATAGTACAGGAAGAAAGAATTCGTTCGTAGAAAGAGAGATATGAAGCGATTTTAATCTCAGTTCAAGGGAAGATAGAGAGTGTATACACCGACGCCATTGTGATCGATTCTGAGCCATGTCACCAAGAGTTTCCAACCATTGGTTACGATAGTCACGCAGACCCCAACCAAGTAGCCTGCATCAACCAACATGGCTCAGACTAGAAGTTAGTGATTTCAAACACCGTGTGATGAAACACTATATCATTAATAAGCATTAATTACTATCTCATAATTGATCGGCATTTACATTCCTTACTTACTTACTTACTTACTTACTTACTTACTTACTTACTTACTTACTTACTTACTTACTTACTTACTTACTTACTTACTTACTTACTTACTTACTTACTTACTTACTTACTTACTTACTTACTTACTTACTTACTTACTTACTTACTTACTTACTTACTTACTTACTTACTTACTTACTTACTTACTTACTTACTTACTTACTTACTTACTTACTTACTTACTTACTTACTTACTTACTTACTTACTTACTTACTTACTTACTTACTTACTTACTTACTTACTTACTTACTTACTTACTTACTTACTTACTTACTTACTTACTTACTTACTTACTTACTTACTTACTTACTTACTTACTTACTTACTTACTTACTTACTTACTTACTTACTTACTTACTTACTTACTTACTTACTTACTTACTTACTTACTTACTTACTTACTTACTTACTTACGCCTGTTACTCCCAAGGGAACATTCCATGTACGTAAATAAATGGTCACTCTGGTTGTCAGAAGAAGCATCAGCCTCGTAACTTCCGAAGGAACTCGACTTTCACCATGAGCTGTCATAACTCTTCTAAATGAAAACCTTCTAACTCCCAGGGCAGAGTTTAAATGGTTTGAATAATTTTCTGGTTAGCGTTTTTTCAGCGAGTTAGTTTTCTACAGGATGGGGTCTTTAACCCCATGCCCAACCCTCCTTCTTTATCCGGGCTTACGACCGGCAGTAGCCCCATTGGGGCTCCGGGCGGAGTTATGTACAATCCAGTTTCTGTAAATTATATTGTGGGCAAAAAAGCTTAATGATAATACTTTTGACTGGGGTATCTTTCAAATCTTTGAGAGAGAACAAGATCTTTCAAGATTACTCATGTTAATAAACACAAACCTGTGTAGAATAACTGTTTCTGTACAACTCTGTATATCTTACTCATCGTTCTAGGTTTTTTCATACTGAGAGCGTTTAGTGGTTGAATGCTAAGAGGTGACTAATTAATAACATGTTATTGTAGACTAAATCGGGGTTTTTTTCGGTATCAATCTTATATCAACTAGTAATTCTTAGTATTAATTGGATTTTGAAATAATGCTCGGTTTTCTGCTTTACACTAATAACACACGAATTTACCTCAAACGAATATCTACAACAAATACTATACCAATATCTATTCTACAAAACTTCAACACCACTTTGAACAAGAATATATAACTGACCTGAATAGAACGTTAGTAGATGTCAACGTCAACACTAGATAATAAGAACAATAACAAGAAATAGGAAAATATATCAACTATCTACTAGTCTGAACTATGTAAACAACCTATTACTACCGTCGAAGTAATTAGTTCTATGAATTTGGTATTCATCTTGTTGTGTTAATGAGGTATGGCAACTTTAAACCGATGCATATGTTTACCTGGTCCTACATTGTAACTGACTGAAATAAACAACTAATCATTATTTTCCTTACCCAGACATCAGATTCTATCAACTATAAAAAGTTCAGTGTAATGAGTATATCGACTATATGATTTATCGTTTTAAATCAAACAGTTGAAGACAATATGAACTAATCTCTTCCCTACATATATATTTTACATTTATTAACTCTATTTAACAACGTGTGTCTGTTGTTATAGAGCACACTCCGGAGGTGGAGATAGTAATTTATCTTTGTCCATACTGGGTAGTGCAACATCGAGTATTCCACTGTCACATTTATGTCGGTGGTTGTCCATTGATCTGTTGGTATAAAGTAACTCATACTCTTAATGATTGACTAGATTGATTTACATGATTCAATCCCTTATTCTTAGTTACTCAATAGTACATTTTCATCTAGGTTCCAAATCTATCTTAACTGCTAATATCAATATTATTAGTACCTTTTAAATTCACTTTAATCATTCGAAACTCATCATCATCACTACTAATATCCGAAGAGGTTTTGTGAAAATTATGGTAGTTTCAATAGTTGAGATCATGAGTCAATTGAAGCCAAACCACCACCATGAAAGACCTGGAAGCACTACTTGACGTCCGGTTCGTCCTATTGTGAGACTCCTCAGCAATGCGTACCCACAATCTCACCCCGCGAGATATCGAGCCCAGGACCTATCAGTCTGACGCGCGAGCGCTTAACCACTAGACTACTGAACCGGTATCCAGATTTTCCATGGTGATCTAGTTTCAGTTGACTCATGATCTCAACTATTGAAATCACTACTAATATGTTAGTTAAGTTTTAAACATTGATAGTTGTTTACAAAAATGTTCATCGTGTCATAAATTACTTATGTACATGTTTTCTCTTCTCTTTTTCCCGAAAAAAAACACACCTTTGAATTAAATGATATAGGCTCTTTATTTAATTGGTACAAATGGTAAACCGGAGATTAAAGAACGTGATAAATTAAGTCCAGAGTTTCTAGATTTCTTAGATCGATGCCTTGAAGTCAATGTAGATTTACGTGCATCTGCATTTGAACTACTTAAGGTGAGTATTTCTTCTTTTTTTTAAATCATGTCCTTTTAATTATGTATTCATCTTTTCATTAGTAAATACTGTTTTAGAAGTATTGTTGGTATGTCAATAGCGAAATAATGTTCGACCTCTTACTTACTTACGCCTGTTACCCCCAATGGAGCATAGGCTGCCGACCAGCATTCTCCAACTCACTCTGTCCTCGGCTTTTCTTTCTAGTTCTATCCAATTGTCGTTCATTCTTCTCATGTCTGTATCCATTTCTCGATGTAATGTGTTCTTTGTCTTTCTTCTTCTCGTTTGACTTTGAGGATTCCACGTGAGGGCTTGTCTTGTGACGCAGTTGGATGCTTTCCACAATGTGTGTCCCATCCACTTGCAGTGCTTCTTCGTGATTTCTTCCTCCTCCTGAATCTGATTTGTTCTCCTCCACAGTAGTTTGTTGCTTATAGTGTCTGGTCAACGAATCCGAAGTATTTTGCATAGATAGCTGTTAATAAACACTTGTATCTTCTGGATGGCGGTTTTCATAGTTCTCCAAGTTTCCGCTCTTACTGCTTCTAATAATAATAACATAAATATCATATACGTTTAGCAAGTTAGCAGCTCCCCTAACTTATTAACTGAGTAAATGATGGGTTGCTGTTTGAAGTGATAATCATTGGGTTCGAATCTCGTTATGATTACGAACACTGGAATTCGACAGGAAAATCTTTTTGAATAGTTCCAAATGAAATAAAATGTGCATCGTGGATTTTACTACTAGTCACAATCTTTCTTTTCTATAAATATTTCTGATATCAGTTCATTAAGTTGTAAAACATTGGTGACCTATCATTTCACATTACTCTTTATTTACCTATTCTACCGTAATTTAACATGTTGTTGATTATTCTCAACATGGTTATTGCTGTTAAATGATGAGTAAAATGTCTCAAACAATTCAGAAACAGAAGGACATCGGTAAGTCATGCACAGTGTAGAACTTGGTATATATATTCATCGGTTGAGGTTGCTACACCATATCGGTACAGCAAGATGCTGGAATAGTATAGGTAGTAAGAGTGTGGTGTGTGGTACTGATGTCGACAGATATAAGTAATATGTATCACCAATCGAAAGTGAAATACCTGGCGGCAGAAAGTTAAGAAGATGAGAGAAAAGAGGATAATTGGTGTGGAAACAAAGAAACAATGAAGTATGAAACGATTGATTAACATTTTGCAAATGAAATATTTATTGTATGGTTCTAAGATTTTACTGAGAGATTCTGTAATTTTGTATTGAGATACATTTGGTTGTCCCCACTTGCATTATCGTCCACTCCCCCCTTCCAGCCAAACAAGTCGGTGAAGCCTATTAGGCCCTTCTGGAGAGAAACACGCCACATCGAAGCACGGCAAAACTACCGGGGCTAGAATAGTCGCTTCTACAATCCTTTGGAGTTAGCCCAATGACCAGCAACTCCATATGATACATCCACCACTTTCGAAAATTTTTGTCGTTTTCCATTCCAAATGTAATTGTTCTATGTTTCTCTGTGGGTTTCGTAATCGATTGGTTGGTATAGGTAAGAGTGGGTGATTAGCCCGATCTCCACCACCCGGGTTACCGCTCACTTTAGTTTATTAGTCATTCGTTTCATTATCCAGGAGGCACGACGCGGACGTGTGAATCGGATTTCGCCTCGTTCACTACAAAAGTACTAATGGCAGTAGTAAAGATTAGGCGTCCAAGATGTAACTTTAAAAAACGCATGGATTCATGGAATTAAAAAAAATACCTTTTAGAATAATTCAGAAAGTTAGCACATCACGAAAGATAAAGCGCGAACATATCTGCGTCATTGAAAACAGTTTTGAACCATGTCAAATAAACCCTCTAACCATATAGTCTACATCTGCACGCCACGTCACTATCTTCGGTCACTACCGACTTACTCCATATTGATTTTCTATTTATTGACTTATTCAGTAGTAGTATTGGTAGTAGTATGATAATTGGAACTAATTTATCTGTCCAATCATGTTAGGTTCCACATTATCAAGTCATTCAACCTAATTATCCTCATTTAATAATAATAACTTCAATCATAGATCATTTAAGGTAATAGTAAATGTTTATCAATTGATATAGTAGTAGTATGATTATCCTTAAATGATAATTCATGTTATACTAGAACAAAATCATACAGTCCCTTCATTGTGTGAGATTCATTTTCACAGAATGAACCGAATATCCACTTTAAATGAATAAATAAATAAGCATCAAATAGATGTGTATACTTTAAATTTCTATAATACATAATGATCATTTCATTGTTATTGATTAATTTGTCATTATCTGGATTCATTATATTACTATCTCTTATGTTAAGCATCAACTTTTATGTATGAGCTATTTAGCAAGTATTGAAATTCATTTAATTTACATTGAATCTAATAGTTATAAAACTCTAAATAGCTTATATAATCAGTTATTCATTTGAATACATAAATATTGGTACGAGGAGGCATCAGATAGATATGCGCCACATAAATCGAATGATTTATGTGAAGGCTAGGAAACTGACCAGGTGCCCAGACAGAAACAGGTGGTTATCTTAGGAGTTCACTCCCCAAGCATTTGACCGAAAGGTCTAATCCACAAGGTAGTGGAGTAACTTCAGGAGATACAGTCCTATGGTAGCCGGTGACCAACGATTGGTTCATATGCCGTTTGTTCCCTCAGGATAGTGGAGCCAGCCCATGTGCACCATTGGTTTGGAGTTGGGGTTTTCCAACTCTCCTGGGTGGATACTCCGTGTCCAACAACTCGGTTAAGGCGTTGGACTTGTGTGGCAGTGGTTGTATACACGTGGCCATGTGAGATCATTTGGAAAGAGAGAGAGAACTGACTTTCCGCACTCTCGGCCATACCAGGGCATTTAGGAACTTCTATAAAAATTTATCTATTTCAATATGTTCTTGAAATGTTATGTAATTTTATTTCTTTTGTTTTTTTTAAACTTTTTAAATAATATTTTAGCATCCTTTTATTGTACGACGTTCGAAACCGTTATCATCTTTAACACCATTGATTTTAGTTGCTCGAGATCAAGCTAGAAATCAAACACAATAATGTAAAATACAAAAATGTTTCAATATTATCACTTTATAGAAAAAAAATCAAGAAGTAGTAGTAGTCGAACAATAATAACAACAAATTCCTATTCTAATTCCATCTACTCCTGATGATGATGACGATGATTATGTCAAATACTTTATATTCAATAGGATTTTGTTCAATTGATTAATCTATCCCATTATCAATATTCATATAATCTGCTATATATTCATGCTCTCCTTCATCTATCTATCTAATTACTATTTCTGCTACTACTACACACATACACATCTATCTTCCGACTCTTTCACATTTCATCTCATCAATTATTATATGATTGATCAATTGATCCAGTCATTTGTTTCCATTTGAGGTAAGTATGAAGGAAAAAGGGGGGGTGTTACAGATGTATGTTTTTCTTTCCTAATCTAATCTCCTTTTAATTCTATGATACTATCATGTAATTTTAGATTAAATTTTGAGTATTTTGAACAATCAATGTAAATGTGTGTGTGTGTGCGTTTTTTTCTTTTAATACCTCTCATATTATTCTATTGTAAAGTTAACTTATGTAATCAATTATTATATAATAATAATAGGAGAATTTATATGATCTATTGAAGGATACCCTTTTTTTGGATGATAGAGCCCCTCTCCTCACCATCGTATAAACATACATACATATGAACAGGGAATATGAAATTCATCATTTCATACTTAAATTCTCTTGTTACATTGTTTATCAATTGACAACACATGTCTTCCTCAAGTACACGCACGCACGCACGTGTGTGTGCATGAATTGATGTATTTTCAATAATCATAACAATTAATTCCTGTTGTTACTTGGCTCTTTTACTTTTCTCTTTTAAAATATTCAACACAACAAAAAAACTTATTGAATTGCTCATACCAAAAATAAAAGAAAGAAATTTTTTTAAAAATATTCCGATACTACTGTTTATGTACATCGAAGCTATACATATACATGTTTTTATATAATTATGCAATAATATTTAACAAAATTCATACCATATTACAACATTAAATTTATTTTTATTTTGGATCAATTTACACAGAAAGGGGTCATCTCTTTGTCTCTCCCTTGTGTACTCGTGTGTGTGTGTGGGAGGGTACACTCGGAATATTCATAGAAACATCGATATGTATATACACACACACGTACACACACATATATAGACACACTACAAGATCAATTCTCTGTGAAACTCATTGTTTTCATTTTTTTTCTTTTCGTTATTTCCTCTTTTAATTTCAGATTTCTTTTCATGTGCAGGGGGGGGGTTGTCTTTCTTCTTAAAATCATTAAAGGTTGTCAATATTATATTATTGTGTTTTTAATTTGATCCGTATAATTTCTTTTTTATCTATTTATATATATTCATGGTATGATGTAATACAAATCATGATGTTAATGATGATGATGATTACGCTTGTTGTCAAGAGGAAGGCCACTTTACCATATGACACAATTGATTCTTATAAATAATAATCACTGCTTGTTTCCATATCATTTACTTAGTTGTCTCTTATAGGGGGATATATATATATATATACAACTGTGTGTGTAATTTTTTTTAAATTCCTGTGATGATTTTGACATTTGTGTGTGTGTGAGAGAGAGAGGGTGTGTGTGTGTGAAAAAGTACTCTATTCTATTACTTCTTTTCTGTTATATCACATTAATGATTTTGTTCTTTTAATAATTTGTTTGTTTTGTTTTGTCTATTTTGTTTCCTTCTATATTGTGTTAACCTTGGAAACGAATTGATTTTTAATTTTTATCTAAATATAAGTAAAAAAAGGAATATTTATACATACATACATTACTCATGATTGTTACTAGGCATATATAATCTTTTTGTCCGATCGATTCTTATGATAACGTGATAGGTCTCCTTAAGGTGTAATTAATCTTCACTTAATAATGATAATAATAATACATGGGGCTCCGACTAATTATCTGTTTTAAAAATATGAAAAATAAAGAAACTGTTTCGTCCTAACATGGGATTGGTCAGCAGTGTGTATCCACAATCTCACTCCATGTGATACCGAACCCAGGAGCGATCTCTCTCGTGCGTGAACACACTTAACCTCTAGGCTGGCATTCAATAGTGTTGATGTTTAACTTCGACCAATCCATGAAATTGAGCGACACATCCACCATTGTCATTAGTGAGTTACTATCTCACAACAAAGCTGGTTGGACTCCACTTGTCACTGCTCCTCACAAGAACTACAGGAAATAACTCTTGAAGCCAGTCACTAGTGAGTATATGTTGATTAATATCGGAAGGGGTTTTTGTGGAAATTATAGTAGTTTCAATAGTTGAGATCATGAGTCAATTGAAACTAGACCACCACCATGGATAACCTGGAAGCACTGGATGATCGTTTCGTCCTACTGTGAGACTCCTCAGCAGTGCGTACCCAGAATCCCACCCCGCGAGATATCGAGTCCAGGACCTATCAATGTAGCGCGCGAACGCTCGACTTTTAAACCACTAAGCCGGTATCGAACGGTGTTATGCCTAACTTTAACCAATTCACGAAATAGTTTAAACATGTGTATTTGAGATTTTTCGATTACATTTTAAAAATCAATCATCACTATGATTTCCTCCTCTTAGTAAAGTCAGATTTCAGTATGTGATTTTGGCGAGACTAATTTATGGACGAATCTCAAGCAACCTTGAGAAATATTAGGCAGTCAACAAACAGTCAGTATAGAGTAAAAAGATGTTATACAAAACCAAGGAAATAAAGTGGATACACTTCTTATACGTGATTCAAGAATTCGTCAACGTTAAAAAGAGGTTCACAGGTTCTAAAATCGTTAATGCATGCAGTAGAGGAAATCATCCATACGGCTACAGAACAGTCGGCCTCTCGAGTCATGATAAAGTCTCAAATACTATTTCAGCCTCGACCACATAGCTTCAATATTGTTTATGTGCACTGCGGTTGTTGAGTGCACAAAATGCTACTTGTGCGTAACGACACGATGCACATAATCAAGCCTATGTAGAAGTCCGCACGCTCTTCAAATATCCGTATATATATTAGTACCTGGTTGCAGCCAGTGTTACTGGTGCTTTTATTATCCAGTTCGCGGTAATTGTCATAATTTGCCTTAATTAGGAATTATATATGGGGTTTTCATCACGAACTGACATAAGCTATAATGCGAGAAATTTATTTAGCCAAATGGATGAAAGGCTTTCTTATACCTGATTGATTCGTCCACAAACCATAGCCCCGCCGTTTTATTTATTACAGCCGCTCAATTTTCGCGTTTTGTACAAGATTCCCTGCGAACCGATCGTACGTTAGCATTAAGCACTGAAGTTGGCGCCGTGACCTTGAAATCCCTCAGACGCTTCTGATTGGCTCGTCCATAATTTAGAGTCTCGCCATGATTTTCAATATATAATGACTTAACTCATTTATCAAGTATCAATTTGTGTACTTCATTTCGAACTATATTCTAAATACGTATAGATGTTGATCAAATCAAACTAGGTGCAATAGGCTTAGAATCTGTTACTTAGTGGTTGGATTTCGAACGCGCTAACCACTGAACCCACCGCTGTATATTTAATTGACGGGTTTTCTGTTATCTCCTTGATCTGTCTACCCACTTTTGGTGCTGAGTATAACTTGTTTAATCTTCACGCGATAGACTGACCGACTTAACCTTGAGGCTAGTATGCGTGAGTTCGAAGTGAGGTAGAGAGAAGAAAACTATTCTATCACCTGATTGGTTGACAAGCATGCAAGTGAAAGAAAATAAGTCAACTGGAACACTACTTGATGTATTCTCAATTCCGATCTGGTTCCCGATTTCAGATACATGAATAAATAGATGATTAACCCACCACAATGTTCAAAACTGGGGATTAGCATAGAAAATGAAGTACAAACTAAACGTTTAAATTACAATAGCTTTGGAACAAAAAGGTCTATAGCAGTGAATCATACATCAAAAGAAAGCTTATGATCTGTAGAATAGATTAGGGACAAAAATAAATGTCAGCGTTCTACAAGCTTTGAATTAAATGAAATAACGTCCGTAGTTTGTCAAGGTTTCTTGTTTCTCTGTTCACATCAGTATTTAAATAATTTATCTTCTGTATACACGAAATCTGATACAACTGGGCACCAAAAGTAGTAAACACCATACAAAATAAAGATATGAAATAGAGGATGGGGAGGTAGTATGGTTCAAAAAGTAAGTGGACAAGAATACTGTGTAATAGGGTATACAGTTCAATTAGACAGACAATGAAGAAAGAATTCGTTCACTGAATGGGAGTTTCTATCACTTTTATAAAGAACGTAAAAAGAAAACCATAGCAGGATCACAATGGGTTTTTGTTTTGAGTCATATCTGGTAACTTCTCCATGGAGTCGTGATAAACTTACAGATATCAGTCTTATACAGCCTTCTTTCATACCAACGGTACCAATCCTCTTTTCTCACCCAGTCTCAGTGTTGGCAAATAATACACAACATTTTCAAAACATACCCAAGGCACCGAAGTCAGTTTTTCAAGATAGTCACACTAACTGAATTATTTTCTCTGTACCCAGATACATTTCCGAACCTCTATACTACTAGCGTGGTGTTGCCACTGGATAGCGGAAGGGATGATGGAACATAAGGAGTCACCGAACATCAACTCGAAGAGGTTAGGTTTTAAAAGCATGGGGAAAAGCTGATTCCATCAACGTGTTGTAAACTCAACTTTTTACAGCTGAAAGGACATCATTACGACTATAAAAGTGATCCGGATTGACCATTATGACTCACTATACGTGAACTGATTTCATGTACCGTGCCACCACCATCACTCACAATTACCTCTAAAAATGCAGACTTTTCGACTACTTCCAATGAATCACCAAAAAGAATAATTGCAAGTAGAGACTTTCCTCCAGTCTTACAGAAGCGCTTTACACTAGGAAGGCGCAAAGTATATGCCATACCTACAGACACTAATTGTCAATTAACTAGTTGTATCTTGAATCGATTATATATCATCGCACAGTAGGAAAATACTATCGACATACCCATAGTTGAAAAGTCCTCCCGGGAAACAGATCACTACGTACTTCCTTCAGACCTATTTCCAGAATATCCTCTACGGCAAAGTTGAGGAGGAATGGTGAGATTGGGCAATTCTTGTCTAAATCTACTCTTGAACTGGAATAATACAGAAAAGCGGTTGTATGTGCTTACTCTGCCTTAGATATTTGTGTACAGAGCCATTCAGATGTTAACAAACTCTTCAAGTATATACATATTCAACAGACAATCCCAGAGAATAGGCTCCGATATCAAAAATAAAAGTAATTATTGACCTGGAATAATTGTAGCAGTGCTCTAATATTTGACAGGCTGTGAAGTTATGATCAATTCGTCCACAATCTGACCATAAACTAGCCTGCTTCTTGTAAGACATATATATAAATGTTGAGTTCGGAAAAGTCGAATATTTTTCGGGAGAAAATCGTGACCCAATGTTTTACACTACTTAAAACCTACTACAAGTAGGCTGTACAAATTAATTAAAATAAATCCATTTTTGGTTTACATTAAGTCACAAAGCGTCAGAAATACAATTTCTTACCCATTGAGATATAACAGGGAAATATATTTATTATTAACTTTCTTACTAATGTACAATTTATCTGAATCTAATTAAAATACTTATTTATTGATTAATAGTTGATTTCATGAATCCATTGAAGCTAGATCACCATGGAAAACCCGAAACCACTGTATAGTCGTCTCGTCACACTGTGGGACTCCTCAGCAATGCGCATCAACGATCCCGCCACACGAGATTCGAACCTAGGACTTATAGATCTCTCGTGTGAACGCTTAACCTATAGACCATTGAATTGACAGGCATCCAACAGTGATGTCTAACTTTAACTAATCCACGAAATTGAGCGACACATCCACCATTGTCATCATTGAGTTACTATCTCAAAACAGACCTGGTTGGACTCCACTTGTCACTGCTCCTCACAAGAACTACAGGAAATAACTCTTGAAACCAATCACTAGTGAGCATATGATGATTATAACCAGAGGGGTTTTTGTGAAAATTATAGTAGTTTCAATAGTTGAGATCATGAGTCAATTGAAACTAGACCACCACCATGGATAACCTGGAAGCACTGGATGGTCGTTTCGTCCTACTATGGGACTCCTCAGCAGTGCGTATCCACAATCCCATCCCGCGAGCTATCGAGTCCAGGACCTATCAGTCTAGCGCGCGAACGCTTTACCTCTACCTCTACCTCTAGACCACTAAGCAGGTATCCAACAGTGATAATGTCTAACTTCAACTAATGAGTATACGTTGATTAATACTGGAAGTTTTTGTGAAAATTATAGTAGTTTCAATAGTTGAGATCATGAGTCAATTGAAACGAGACCACCACCATAGAAAACCTAGAAGTACTGGACAGCCGTTTCGTTCTAGTCTGGGATTCTTCAGCAATGAATATCATTTCAAATAAGAATATAATATTGAAATCATCTATTTATTCAATTAATATAACTACTGTACAATAAGGAGGGAAGAAATTGTCCCAAAGAATAAGATGGATTATTATTATTGAGGATATTCTATAGTATTTCCTTTATCTTAATCTCATTCACAATTATTCATCACATTATAAATTGTGACATAAATGATTCTTGTTGTTTTAACCATTCAATAACACGTTGTTTTGATGTTGATAGTTGTATAGGTGATTTCCATTTATCTTTATGTGAAATTCTTTTAATATGATGTAAATTATTAGATTTCATATATGATGATATTCTATCTTTTGAATGATTTCTATCACCATCTATAATGTAATAAATAAAAATCTTACATTGATTGATAGAATACTTAATTTATTACTAATAAAGTAGTAAGTAGTATAAGTTACCAGTTATTTTATCCTTAGCTTAAATTTGTAATAGATTAGATTAACTAGCTTCGTTAATCAATCACCATGGTAACCGTTATTGTTATAAATCCCGAACGATGTTAAGAATCAAAAACAGCAACGATTAGTTTATTAGCGAATAGCATGGATAACAACAAACCCTGCCTGGAGCCCCTCTGGGGCTACTGCCAGTCCTAAGCCCGGATAAAGGAGGGTTGGGCATGGGGTTAGCGACCCCATCCTACAGAAAACTAATTCACTAAAATACGCTGCCCTGGGAGTTAGAAGGTCTTCATTTAGGAGAGTTATGACGGCTCATGGTGAACGTCGAGTTCCTCTGGAAGTTACCAGGCTGATGCCCATTCTGACAACCAGAGCAACTATTTATTTAGGTACATGGAATGCTTATACAACGTAGGAGACCGAGAGAGTTTTCCAAATCGCTGCTGAATGGATAACAAAGCTACAATTACATAGAGTGAATTTGATGCAGAGAGGTGAATATGTCCGAGCGATCGAGTGAATATAGAGGCAAATTTATAGTCGAATTGAATAAGGACAACAAAGTAAGGCAAATGCTATTAATAGGATTGGAGTACATATATACATGGGGAAGAGAATGATTCATTCAGCGATATTTAAATGATTGACACTTTAGCTAGAGAGATATGTGTGTAGGCTGTCACATATGATCAAGCGTACATGTTTATACAGACATGGTAGTACAAAAAAATCTTTGTTTATAATGTTTGTGCATTAAGGCAATACACACAGTATGTATATATCCCAATAAGAGACTGATCAATTGCAGTCCTAAAGATATCAATAGGAAGATTCAAGTGAATAGATGAATTTTTAGTGTTCAGCTAACGTTGTCTGTCAAATAAGTACTAGCATCCTCAATTAATAGCTTTAGATAATTAAGATTTACTGACCATATTGCCAAAGATTATTTGAGACAAATTCTGTACTTTGCATGAATTTGATTATTTGCTATACAGCACATTTATAGATTAGTTCCGCACAAGGTTGTTTACTCTCATCCTTTCTCTTTCTCCTGGTGACCGACTGGATTATTAATACGTCAATATCTGGGGAGAAGCATGGAATACATTGGACAGATAAGATGCAGCTGGACTACCTAGACTTCGCAGATTATTTAGCTCTTCTATCGCACACATGTTCGAATAATTTTTTTCTGGTTAGCGTTTTTTTACCGAGTTAGTTTTCTACGGGATGGGGACGCTAACCCCATGCCCAACCCTCCTCCTTTATCCGGGCTTGGGACCGGCAGTAGCCCCCGGAGGGACTCCAGGAGGAAACGTCTTCAACAGGGTATTGTTAAACAGGGTGAAGGACTGCGTAGACGCTCAACTTCGTGACCAACAGGCAGGATTCCGTAAGGATAGATCGTGTACAGACCAAATCGCATCTCTACGGATCATTGTGGAACAATCAATTGAATGGAATTCATCACTCTACATCAACTTTACTGACTACGAAAAAGCATTTGACAGCGTGAACAGGACAACACTATGGAAACTTCTTCGACACTACGGCGTGCCTCAGAAGATAGTCAATATCATACAGAATTCATATAATGGATTAAACTGCAAAATCATGCATGGAGGACAGTTGACAAAGTCGTTCGAAATAAAGACCGGCGTCAGGCAAGGTTGCTTACTCTCACCCCTTCTCTTTCTCCTGGTGATCGACTGGATCATGAAGACGTCAACATCTGAAGGGAAACACAGGATACAATGAACATCTAGGATGCAATTGGACGATCTAGACTTCGCAGATGATCTGGCCCTTCTATCCCAAACGCAACAACAAATGCAGAAGACGAACAGTGTAGCAGCAGCCTCAGCGGCAGTAGGTCTCAATATACACAAAGGGAAGAGCAAGGTTCTCCGATACAACACAGCATGCACCAATCCAATCACAATTGACGGAGAAGATTTAGAAGATGTAAAAACCTTTACATATCTTAGCAGCATCATTGATGAGCACGGTGGATCTGATGCAGATGTGAAGGCGCGGATCGGCAAAGCAAGAGCAGCATGTGGAGGAAACCTGGAGAACTACGAAAGCCATCATCCAGAAGATACAGGTGTTTATTAACAGTTATCTATACAAAATACTTCAGATCCGCTGGCCGGACACTATTAGCAACAACCTACTGTGGCAAAGAACAAACCAGATCCCAGCAGAGGAAGAAATTAGGAAAGCACCCAACTGCGTCACAAGACAAGCCCTCACATGGAATCCTTAAGGCCAAAGAAGAAGAGGAAGACCAAAGAACACATTACGCCGGGAAATGGAGATAGACATGAGAAAAATGAACAAGAATTGGATAGAACTAGAAAAGAAGGCCCAGGACAGAGTGGGTTGGGGAATGCTGGTCGGCGGCCTACGTTCCATTAGGAGTAACAGGCGTAAGTAAGTAAGTAGTCGCACACACAATGACAAATGCAGGAGACGACCAGTGTAGCAGCAGCCTCAGTAACAGTAGGTATCAACATACACAAAGGGAAGAGCAAGGTTCTCCGATACAACACAACATGCACCAATCAAATCACACTTGATGGAGAAGCTTTGGAGGATGTAAAAACCTTTACATATCTAGGCAGCATCACCGATAAGCACGGTGGATCTGATGCAGATATGAAAGCGTGGATAGGCAAAGCAAGAGCATCATGTCTACAATTCAAGAATATCTAGAACTCAAAAGAACTGTCTGTTAACCAGCACCAAAGTTAGAATTTTCAATACAAATGTCAAGACAGTTCTACTGTATGCTGCGGAAACTTGAAGAACTATGAAAGCCATGATCCAAAACATACAAGTGTTTATTAACAATTGTCTACGCAAAATACTACGAATCCGTTGGTCAACAACAACCTACTGTGGGATAGAACAAACCATATCTCAGTGGAGGAAGAAGCACTAGAAGTGAATCGAACACACATTGAGAAAAGCATCCAACTGTGTCAAGAGGCAAGTCCTCACTTGGAATCCTCAGGGCCAAAGAACACATTATGCCGAAAAATAGAGACATATGAGAAGAATGAACAACAGTTGGATAGAACTAGAAAGGAAGACCCAGGATGGAGTGGGTTCGAGAATGCTGGTCGGGGACCTATGCCCCATTGGGGGTAACAGGCGTAAGTAAGTAATCATGTCATAAGTTACATATACTACCTGAGAACTAGTGATATTGCTTTTTGGATCAAATCTAGACAAATCAAATCTGGATTTGTAACCGCAATTCATTGTGTCAGATTTGAATGCCTTATTGACTGATACACAGATTAAAAAAGCCACATCTGTAAACTGAGTATCTACCCTTTTTAATACCAGGTCCAAGAAGTGAACGGACAATATGGACGAATTATATCGTTAAAAGTATTCACAAAGGAAGACGATATGTAATCTGATCAAATGGTATTAAGTTGGTTAGTTACACATTTTAATGATTTAAATAAAATTAACAGGAACATTAACAAGAAATGGGTGCAGACAGATTTTAAACCAAAAGGCTACTGACTTTCATAATACAAGAGATCCGAGTTCGGAAGAATGAGTGACTAACTTCATGTCATATCTTGTCATTCCCGTTGTACTCAACCTAGCTAATCCCTTAATTTGATATTTATCGTTGCCCAACAGGGATAATAACTATCGTGGTATATAGATGTTCAGTCACTAAAGTGCTAAATTGATGGGCGAAATGTTCCAAATAAAATGAAACAGTTATCTATCTGATTGTTGTTTGATAATGAGAACAATTGTTATTAATATTTTAAGGAATTAAAGCTACTAAAAGATAAATAGGAATACGATGGTGTGGTTAGAGGTAGTCAACTGGGTTTCATGCTATTTGGCATTCGTTAGCAAGGTGTACCTGTAGTCTTGAGGGAATCGGTGCTCCCTGACGAATTCGATACCGTGTCACTCAGCTTCACAGTCAAAGATGTTACCACTGGGCTATCCAGGCGATAGCATTCGATCTGTACTAAGAAGAACCTAACACATATGACATTGATCACCACACAACGATCGATCAATTGTAAATAGGAATACTTCCAAATGACTATTGACAAAACATCATGCCAAGTAAGAACGAGTATTTAACTGGCTACTAATGTGTTAAGAATAACTATGTCAGTGGTTTATTTGCTTTCAGATAGTTTTTGACAATGCTAAAGACACACTTTATAATTAACTACCAGGAAGTAAGAAACTTTAAAAAAACTGAATCATGTTATGGCCTTTTTCTTTTACCATTATCAGGATAGTGATATTTTGTCACACAACCCTAGTATCCTTAAAAAAAACATTTACCTGTCATAGGACTGTTTTTAGTGCTACTACTACTACTATTGCTAGTATATAAGTTTGATCCATTCAGTGAACCAAATCTTCGCTTTTCCCAAGAAGATACTGATTTCTCCAATGCTATAAATAATAAGATATTTATAAGAAAATATTTTATACTTACAACATAAAGCAGCTTTTACATTATTAAAATCCTAAAAATTAAAACTTTTATTTAAAAACTTAAAGTAACTTTTACCATTTTGGAATTTTCATTAAATAATGAACTTTCCATTGTTACTTCTTTCTCATTCTCCTCCTCTTCCTCGTTTTCTTCTTCCTTTTCTGTATCACTACATGTACCGACAATAGTAGTATTTGTAAAAGATCCTTTAATAGAAATTAACTTAAATATATCCGAAGTCAATACCTGTTCTATTTGTAGATGGTTGAATATTTTCAATATCACAATCATTTTCATCATCTAATAATGTACTATCTGGTAATGATGATAAGAAATCTATAAGTGTTATTCAAATCTTATTTTAAAAATATATATATATTTATCTACCTCCTGTTTTAGTGATTGAAAATTCTGTTAAATCAACTATATCACAATCACGAAATTCATAATTATACTAAAATTTATAATGAATAGTAACTTGTAAGATAATATATTGAAAGATATTACCTTTTCCGCTATGTTGTTTAACTTTATCATAAATGAGGAATCCATAATAATGATTGTACGATTCTCACTGTAGTAAACTTAGTTGAGTTAGCAATATGAAAAGAAAAGAAGGATAAAAACTAATCAGATTAGTTACGTGTTTTTAACCCTAATGCTGATCGACTATAAATGAGGTTAATGTCATAATCCTTGATTTTTAAATAAGCGGCCCTGGGTTTAAAGCCTTTCTCACCAGGTTTAGACAGCATATCTAACCATTACGAAATATAGGGTTTAGTCCCCATGTAATTGCTAGGTTACGTTACACATTTTATGCCTGTCATCAGATATCAAGCCACTTTGAAATTATATGAAGTTTATGAATAGCTAAAAGGATTTTTCGCTCGAGATAAAGATTACAACTAAGTGACTTTTTGAAAGCTGTGTCAGCAAATTGTTGCTTAGAAAAGTAGTTTCAACTCAACCACCAGGAGTGTGATATGCACACATGATGATACCCTAAATTTAATCAGTACATCAACGTCATTCAGTTGCAAAATGGAATTATTCCGATAACAATCGAATATTAAGGCTACTTAATAATAACTGCAGACAATCTGAACGATAAGAAATACGTTTTGAGGGAGGATACTAGTGAAATTACGAATCTATTAACTTGCACATGTTGATATCCCTAATGTAAAACCCATTTCATGTCAGTCATCAACGTCTGATGTTCTTATACTAACTGCACCATTCTTAATCTAGAAACGAGACAAAATGAACAAAAGTACTTTGATGCAACTCAAAATACATAACGTAGATTGATAATTCCGATAACATACTTTCAGTTTGGAAAAGAGCAGGAGGCTAGATGGCCTGTGTTATTCCTGGCAATGATGGTTTCTAGGTTGGTTCAACTTTTTTTTGAAGGGGTCGAAAGATGGAGCTTTAACCACATGTTGAGATAATGAACTCCACTTGTTATCGATTCAATGAGGAAGTCGATAGTCAACTGACAAGTAATTTGTTCCGGGTTTGTGAACTTTTTTAGAGTGTCCTCGTAAATTTTCTGTCAGCGTGATCAGTCTTTAATTTCTCGGCTACTATGAGAATGGGTTTGATTTTCTTTAATAGCGTTATGTCTTTTCTTGTTCTCAACCTGTACCCATTCATCAACTTTCGTTGGAGTAGCGACCACAGTCGAGTCAAAAACACTGTGGGGGTCCGGACGGTCACAGGCGAGTCTAACAGTCAGGTTGGTTTTCCTGATGGTATCAGATCTAGCCTTGCAATTGGGTTTTTTAGAAGTTTCCTGCCAAATACCATTTAGAGGATGTGCGGTGGAGGAAACTTTCTCTCTAGAGCTTTTATTTAGAAAAGACCTCTTTGAAGTCGGTTTTTTCTTCTTCGATCCATGCAAGTCAGCTGTTACCGAGCTTATTTGAGGTGACTTCACATAAATTCGTGTATCGATAAAGCGAATATTTTTCGATGTGTTTCAACCCTGTTGGTTTGTACACTTTATAGCAGCACTTACCATTGAAATGAGCTCGGTTAGCAAGCTATTTGTGTCCGAGCAGCACTGCTGACAAAACCACATGCAACCATTCTTACTAAACAGTTTGAAAGTCGGTGTTAGGTTTGTGCAAACTTTGTGGTACTGTCCTTTGCACTTGTCGCACTACATGCCACTTTTAATGGGGTATCGACAGTTTGGGCGTTGGCAATTGCTTTTTTGCACTGTCCAGACAACAAACAGGTTTTCAAAAGGAAACTAGATGCAGTAATACTTATGAACAAGAGAAACTAATGACCAAAAAAGCGGAGAACTGTAAATTGTAATGTATAGAGAAGTCATATGACCACAGTCGACGATAAAATATACATATAGTGGTTCGAAAAACATTCAAACGGGAAATAGGAAAACCGGTATTTAAATTATTTGCAAAGGTCTAAATACTGTTTAAAATCACGCTATTACCTTATATGAAAACCCTGCATTCATAAAAATATTTTTTTAACCGATAACTAAAATATGTTCGCAAAAAATACAAGAAATCGAGTTATATCGAGAATAAAGCCATCCATCATTTCAATGACAAAGAATAAAATTGAGTCAAAGAATTTGGCTGCTAGACTTCTTAGGAGTTAATTAAAGAAATAATCGGGAATAATCTCTTGCAAGAATTTCATACAATAATCCTAACGACACCTTTGATAGCAAGGTCAAAGTTGACTAGTGCGCTAAAACAGAGAGTAAAGAGCACTGAATGCGGTTAAACGGTATCCTAGCTACACAAGTGTTTATACCTACTCATGCACCCAGCTACTGGGTTTCTTTGGAATGTTAGAAACTGTGATGAAGTAGCAGTTTTAGTGAATTTCTTTAGTATCATGTATGAGATATCAACTGTCTGTAGAAGGATTTAAAGTATCCATTTTGTGAAAGTGATCTTTCAAAAGTGTGACCCAATAAACAGTTCTCTTAATACGTAGGTGGGTTTAGTTGGATTGTCCAATAGCCTCTCTAGGAATTCAGTACTCTACTGACATCCTTTGCTGAGTGATTATGATAATATAGTTCTTACTTTCTTAAAGACGTGGTTCATGTTTTACCATAAAGTACTATTCAATACTAAAAGCAAAGGTGACTCTAAAGTACCTGCAGTGTTCTGCAAATGAACCTACAATGGGAGCTGATTCTTTCTTTGCAGGAATCAGATGAAGGTCCTATCACTATATATACAAATAAGGATCTCATAGTTGGCAGGTCTTCACCCCAAAAACTCACGTAATTTCGCGGTTGAGTTTCAATTATCTTCCTATAATTAGTTCCTAACCGGTTGCGAATAAGTAGTCAAGGGTTGAAGACTTACATGACTATTTATTTTGGGGATTTATTTACAGCTACAACCGCAAGTATAGCAATGTAAATTAGCTATGCTCGAAATGCACTGAAGTAAGAGAGATAGTATTTGACTGCTACTCAAGCATAATAGGTGTCTATGGAACTGGTGTATGAGTGGTTTATTTCGTTTTGAATTGTATCTTAAGAATCCTTATATTTTTCGAAATGACATGTCACATATTATAGAGGTTGTGATCGTACATTACCTACCACACTTCGTTAAAGTGCATGACATCTCATTTCTCAAGATAAGACAGAGAGATATATCATAGTGCACTATAAAATGTTATTGTAGTTTGTACTTATAAGGAGTATTATGGACCTCAAATAATTTCGAACCATTTAGTTCTACAAGGCATCATGCGAAATGTCTAAATGAATTTACTCGGGCTATACTACCGACTTATTTCGACGACTCCAGTCTCTTAGGCCTAGGTGATAACTCTAGACATTTCAATAACTTCACAGAATTGATAAAAGAATCCGGCTTGTTTCTGAAAATGCATCTCAGTATTTTCGTTGAAACGTTAGTGAAAAATCCTCTAAACTGAATCAAACCTTCGCCAGTCATCCAGTGCATTCTTTGAAGGTAATTGTCTTAATTTCAATCGACCATAGTGATAATTCTCTCCGATCATTTATCATGTCTGTAATCAGTAACCGTTGACTATAATAGCACCGGAAATATATCACAGATAATTGAAAATCACTCTATCAACATGTAGTTCTTAGATTTTTACCCAGATCAGTATTAAGTGCATTCATCAATGTTACTGTTATAATAAGTTTAACCATAAAATTGTAGACTTGCCATGATATAAATACCTAATCTATAAGATCTTTCGTGTAATTCACACCATTGTCTATGCTAACTCGCCCTATCGTGACAATCAGCAATATGCTGTTTAACATTCCTGAATAACGCGTTCGGATTAGGGATAGAATAATATATTTAATATAAGGAGAAATAAGTTACATGTTCACCACACCCGTATGGCTGAATCATGTCGTCTCGATTAATTCCTTCCGTTTTTACCATATCTGGTTTTCTCTGAGTGTTAAATATTGAATTTAAGCCTCTCCAGTTGTCGTATGTTCATCCACAAAGATCGTGTGACTGGGAGCCAGTACCACCACATAGTCTACTTATGAACAACCTCATCCAGCCCATCGATCGATATATTTCTCTCTTCCGATCGCAAGTCAAGCTGTAAGAATTTACTCATGTATAAAGTCTAAAACACCCCAAATTACCATTAGCAGGTGTGAAACACGAAAAAATGGTGTCGTGTAGCGTGGCGTCGAGTCGAGTTTGACCATGATCACCACTACAGGAGTAAAAGTGCGGTTACTGAGCGTAACCTTTGGCACGATCTCGGTATTCTTTCGATACCACGAGATCGCCAACAAATACATATCGACTACAGCTATAAACTGCAGTCTGATATTCGGTTTACGAAGGATCTTATCGGTTAACTCTCCCTGTAGTGGTGATCATAGTCAACCACCACTCGACGCCGCACTACAATTTTATATTACTTATCTGAATATATATAGAAGTTCATTGGTACCCTAAAAAGAAAGGAGTTTTGAGTGGATCAAAGAAGGAAGTACAAACTGACTTACATAATATAGTACACGACGAGCTCACCAAATGAAGATGCTACAGGTATTCGGAGTTTGACAACGCTTTAACCAGTAACACCTAATATGAATTGTACCCACCAAAAATGAAATCAAAAGACAGAAGCGACGAGGTTCGAAGATATATTTGATAGGTTATCAGTATATCGAGGATCGTCCGATCTAATCTGGCTAGCGATCACAGGAGTTGTTGAGCACGGCGTCCCCACTCGTGATCTGGTGCCGATGCATGACCGAGCGCCTTCAGCTAGGTGAGTCCATTAAAACTAATGTGGTCAGCATCCAATGTCGAAAACTTACAGAGCTATTTATTTTGGGGATTTATTTAACGCTACAACACAGTTTAAATTTACACACTGAAGTATATTAAGGTGTATTACAAAATTTCAAAAATGTATATTCACATCATACTAATAAGTCACCACTTTTTTGGTGCTCACCTTTGACTGATTTTATTCAATCAACTAATATATGAGTGACATTATTTTATTGTATAATCGTGTCATCTTTATGACGCTCACCATGATTGCTATTGGTCATTTTGTATGCTGTTTTATTTTTTGAACACCTTGTATGCTATTTATATCTACATAAGTAGTAGTATATAACGATAGTTAAGAATATAATGTATCCCAGTAGGAAATTGAGAAGGAAAGAATGAAAATGGGGATCAATTAATATGAAAATGCAGGAACAATGAAATCTGTAGACGATGGACTAATATTTGCAAATGAATTATTTACTGTATGATTCTCAGATGTTAGTAAGTGATTATGTAATTTTATGGTCATGTCCCTGTTCACTACAACCTTATTAACCGTATGACATATTTTACAATCAAAGTATTTTATTCTCTAAAACTAGCCATCTTGAATTGATACTTTTTTTCCCAATATTAGCTTCATGGACGGGTGGGTGGTGTATGTTTACACCTGATTACATGACATCATGTTATATAGGTTGGCAGTTATTTACTTTTATCTTTATTACCATCATTATAATGATCATTTCATCTTCAAATTTTAAATCATTCAGCGATTTGCCTATTTTCTTCCCATGTACTCTTCATTTATCAAACTTTAATTAAGCCAAACGCATTCATTGTAACATCAATACTACCACTAATACTGTTGTGAAGGTGAACACAGGTGAGGACAACCGAATTGTATTTAGCACAAAATTACAGAGTTACTTGGTGAAATAGAAAAAACCATATAGTAAATCGTTAATTTGCAAAATATCAATCCATCATACCAACCTGTTGCAAACATCAATACATTGTCGCACATTTCATTGTTCATGCGTTTCCTTACAAATTTCATTGTGTTTTCGCTCTTTCTTTCTTGATCTTCTCCCATCTTCTGCTGCCAGACATTGCGTTTTAAACTCGCGTCATATACTACTTACATCGATATAAATAGCACGCACCACAATACTAATAATAATGACAATTACTATTACCATCACGAGTACTACTACTACTACTACTACTACTACTACTACTACTACTACTACTACTACCACTATTACCACAACCACTACCATTACGACAACAACAACAACTACTACTACAACCACTAATACTACGACTGCTATTACTACTACTGTAGTGAACAGAACACCAGTGGGGACAATCGAATGTACTTGACACAAAATTTCAGGACTTGTTAATAAAATCTAACAATCAAATATTAAATACGTAGTTTGTAAAATGTCCATTAATTGTCTCTTCATGACTTAGACTTCATTGTTCTTGCATTTTCATACAAATTGCATTCTGTTTCCATTCTTTACTGTTCGATCCTCTTGTTTCTCTGCTGCCAGACATTCTGTTTATGACAAATATCATCTGCTACTTATGTCAATATAAGCAGCACACACCACACTACTATTAATATTACTACCACTACCACTACGACGACAACAACAACTACTACTAGTAGTACTATTATTACTACCACTACTAATTTTACCACCACTGCCACTACCACTACCAATACTATTACTACCGCTACCACTACCACCACTACAATTACTACTACTAGTATTACTAAAACTGCTACTAACACCAACACTACTGCCACTACTACTACTATTATTATTACTACTACTAGTACTACTACTACTACTAATAATAATAATAATAATAATAATAATACCAATAATAACGCCAATACTAATAATAATGACAACAGTAAGGACTATTATAATCCTGGACAGGAAATTTTCCTCTGAAATTAGTATGTTTCTGTTTTTTCGTCTTAATTTTTCTCACTGCTCTTCTGTGTTCTTATTTTATCATTTTATTTTTTACTTCATTCTATAACGAACATCTTTTATTCTATCAGACAAATGATGGATGAAATTATTTGGTTCCACTTCAATGATTATATTCACACTAGAATTACTATACATAATGATTATTATAATAATAATAAAGGTAATAATGGTGATTATGATGATGCTTTGGATGATGGTGATGATGATAACGATGACAATGATAATGATCATCATGTCTTGTATGTATTGATTTGTTAATATGGAATAGATGAGAATATGAATATAGAAATGAGAAGCGAAAAAGAAGAGAAGAAAAAAACAAAATAATAACAAACAAATGCATGAATAGGAAGTAATAAGTAATTAGAAAATCTTTAATTGAGATCATGAACCAATTGGTGTTAGACCACCTTTGGAAACCTGGAAGCAC